AGAAACCATTTGAGAAAATGAGCTCTATCGGACAAGCTTCTATTCGTGTGGATGTTACCGAATCTGGCTACCGATCATGTCATTCTATATTCCAATCAAAAATCTTTGAAAAATCATCCTCAATCTCTTGAAAATCCAATCCGGAATTCGTACAGCAACCCGGAAGCAGGAAAATCGTTAAGTCGGAATTCCGCTACGTTGAAAAATCTTATTGGGCCTGGCGGGCAAACTGGCCAATATTATTGCGGACGTTTTGGTACGCCGCCGTTGAAAAACATGAAACCCGCCAGTAATGCAAAAACATATTTTCTGTATAATTTTTGGCTTTGGAATCACGATTATCCTCTCAAAGTCAGAGCAAGCCTAGCAAAAATTCTTGAGGAAGTTGTATTTCACAAAATCGGTCATGTAACCAACCGTGGGTCCGTTAACGATCTAGAAGGCAAGCTAGCAGAGATGCTCGCGGAAACTCTGAACGCGACTTTTAAGCAGCTTTCCGTTGTAAAAATAAAACTTCCCTTGGCAATCCAGGAGAGATTATTTTGGAAAACGGTTCCTTCCTAGACCGGAATTTTACGCAACTTCCTATTGACGCTCAAATTTCTTCTCAGGGATCTTTTTGATCGGAATATCCAACTTCCGGTGCCTTCAAATCCCCTGGCCCTTGTGAATCATACATCGCATTATTGCCATCTTTTCTGATTCTGAATTCCGAGCCGGGCGATCCGTAATTGCGGCTCACTACCTACTCCCGGAGGGATAGTGCTTCTCTCTCTCTGTATCTCTCTCTCTACTCTCTCTATCTCTCTCGCTTCTCTCTGTCTCTCTCTCGCTTTCGCTCCTCTCCCGCTTTCTCTCCGTGTCTCACGCACAATCAGGGAACTTGCCTCCAGCTACAAATAAGCAGTCCTTCCCCTCTAGAGAATTTATCACGAGATCCAAAATTGACACCTTTTTGGCATCCGAATTACCCACAGATTTTTATTTTTAGCGTAAAAATTGAGCCTTGAAATGTGGCTCTTGAGCTTTAGATATTTTCAAAGAAGATATAGGAAAAATTTGACAATTTGTAGTTTCCTCTGGAAATCAATTAAAAAGATCCGGAAAGGAGGATTAACCAATTTGCAAGAGCTCAAATCACTCAAAAATCCTTTTAATTTGTATACGTGGAAAAACTCAACCCAAAACGGCCTACGCCCAGTGGTATTCAAAATCGACGGACGTGTGGGAATTTCTGGTGCAAGAAAATTGGGCGGTGGCGTCAATTGACAAAACCGTGACGCTAGGGTCACACGATATCGTCTGGGTTGTAGGGTTACTTAATCAACCAAAAAATTTCGGATATTGCGCGTTGAAATTCACCAAACGTACTGCTAGCGCAAAATAAAGCGGTAATGGGAGTAACGGTTCTTCAATTTCATGCTTCAAAAGTTCGTGTCACCGTCCCTTCAAACCAGGAAGCGTCGCCAACTGATTTAGGTAACTATTAACGTATAATCTAAAAGCATTTCTCATGAATCCTGCCGAAAAACATTACCAAAGTCCTTCACACTCACTTTAATAGATCCTAGGTACTTTTGGCTTGGTTAAAACCGATTAAGGTATAGATTTTGGTCTTTTCCACTGCTGCCTATACCTATTCAGTTTGTCCTGTTACGCTCCCTTTAATGACGTGTTCCTGGCCAGGCGTATCTATTAATGCGGAAATAAATGCGCATGTTTGTAGCTTAGTCGTAAACTCCCCGCCGTTTCCGGGTCTTGAATTTATCCATCATCGTCTGTCACGCTGCCTTTAATACCCGTAGGAGGGAGAGGGTGTTACCCGCCCTATTAATGCGTTGTCATGGCACCCTGTTGGCCATGTAAAGGGCGGTGGAGGGGTTGGTGACCGCGATGTACCCCTATATCCGCGTTTCTCTCTCTCTCTTTCTCTCTCGCTCTCGCTAGAGAGGGAAGAATCGGATTTCCCGAATGGCGCGCAAATCTTCTAATCCGACCAAGGGGATCCGGCTGGTATATAAAGCGACACATCCTTATTTTTCTTAAAGGGGCTCCGAAATCTGGTCCACGGCCCCCTGCTGTGATTCCTGGCAAATAGCCAGATGCGGCCGCAACGCGACCGCGACGCATGGTCTCTTGCCTCTGTTTGGTCGGGAAATCGCGTGAATTTTAAAATTCTGACGGTATTTCTGTAATCCTCATCGAATTTTGATGATTCTAGTCGTTTTAATTATGAAAATTGATCAGAGAGTCACCGAGATCGAGAGATTGGGTGCCTCACAAGGCATTACGACATGTAATCGCCGCGCGCTCAAAAAGGCGTTTTCGTCCCGAAAACATTTCGGTTTTTCTCAAATATTTTGCGGTTTTTCGCAACGAAATCATTTTTCTGGCACTTTTCGGCGGCAATCCATTCGTTTTTTGGCCAGTAGGTTCAATCCGCGAACACGCGAATTTTGACTTCCGAGCCCCTTTAAGTGAAAAAGTTGTTGATGACTCAAAATCACCGCTGTCTCTGTCTCTCTCGCGCTTTCTCTCTCTCTCTCTTTCTCTCTCTCTTTCTCTCGCCGTCCCTCTCTTGCTTCCTCGCAATACCATATGCTGATTCCGTTGGACTGCGCGTTGACACGACTCCAGTTAAGCCACGCCCTTTGGTCCTCTCTGGAGCGGCTCCTTTCGCTCCTCAGAAAAACATAAACAACCCCGGGGTCGCGGCCAATATGTCGCCCGGTCCCTCATTTCCAATCAGATCGGCAACATCGGTTCCATTGCCAGATTTCCTCCTGGATTTTTCATGGTTTTTCTTCAACTGGGGATGAGGTGTCTATCGGAATTTAGTGGAAACCGATTGCACTCAAAAACCGCCTCAACACGTTTCGGAGCTATCAGAACACCCAGATTTCGTGTTGCCACCTTCAAAAACCAATGCCTATCCTTATTTCTAGCTGGTAAGCTTGTGGATTAGTCATCGGGTGTCTCTAGGAATTTACTGGCCACCGATAATGCCCCCCAAACGTTTCAAAACGTTCCGAAACCCCTTTGGAACACTGATAAGCTTATTTTCTGATGGCAATCTTTGACAAACTTTTGCAAGAAACTAGACTTTTCAGAATCTTGGCTTTTCAACTACTTTTTGCACATTTTTTGACAAAAGATGCTGTATTCTGTTTCCGGACTCGGCTAGAAGTCAAGTAATGGTCGTCTGCTTTCCCTATCCCTCCAAAATCCAACATAAACTAGACCTATCAAAAATTTTCTGTCGTTTCCTACAAATTGCATTGAAACTATTTCTTTCTCTCTCTCACTCTCTCTCGCCCTATCCGTCTCTCTCTATTCTCTCTACTCTCTCTCTCTCTCTCTCTCTCTCTCTCTCTCTCGCTCAAGATCAAAATCCCAATAGTTCCTTACTTCCCTGTCCCTTCAATTAGGCAGTTTGGTTTTTGTGAGCCTATACCCTTTGCTCGAAACGACGCGAAAATATTCAGCCGCCGGGCTGATCCGGATCCTGAAATCCCGCCAAAGTCACCGCGCCTAATCCGCTCCGGGAATCGGCGAGGGCGCAGTAAAAACTTTCAAACCCTCGTTCATCATAGTGCTGGCGACATTTTGATGAGGATCGAACTTTTCGAAATCTTCTCTATACCTAAATTCCAAAATCCCTTCAGTTTAGGCAAAAAAGGTAAGTTCTAGCCTTAAAATTGCCATTTTGAGAATCCAAAGTCCAGGACATTCCTGTTTACATGATTTTATGACTTTTCGATCGAAAAACACAGAAAAAGATGAATCACGACACTTTTTCTGCTCCTCCGCGCGACTCCGAATCACGTGGAGCCCATATGCAAATTACGTCATTCTCTCGGAACGATCGAGTGTTTTATAAACATCGAAAATTTAAGAGATTCTGTTTTCTTAGCTTATTTTTAGGCGCTTGACGCCGTTTGATTCCATTCGCAATTCAGTTAACTTTTTTAAAGGTATGGACTACGACGCGAACTTGGTGTCGATGGAGATGATTGCGGCGGCGGCGTTGGACGACAATAATAATGAGTATCCGATGGTGACCATGGTGGGTTAGAGACAGAGAGAGAGAGAGAGAGAGAGAGAGAGAGAGAGAGAAAGCAAGAGCGAGAGAGCGCGATGCAGTTGTACAGAACCACTCCTCACTTTCAGTGGCACGACATCGAAGTCGAGCGGAAGGCGATCAACTGGTTCATGTCGCGCTGTCTGCGCGGGTTCCGAGCTCAAATTCTGAGCCGGGAGGAGCTGTTCTGGAAGGTGGAAGAGGCGTTCATTCTCGAGGACTACATCTTTCAGCGGTCTGTGAGCTTGGTGGGTTCAGTTAATAGTAATAGCTCTTTACGGTTGGCGTAATTTGGACCATAGCGTAGTTGTCGGCACCTAGTAGGGTAGATTTTTGTATTTCCTAGCGTTAAACTAGTCGGAGAAGGCCCGAATGCCACTCAAAAGCACGCAAAATTCAGTTCAAGCGCTAGTTGCGCGTCTCTATGCAAAACCAAGCCCGCTAAGTCGCTGAAGCTTCCAAAAATATCGAAAAACTACATAAAATCATTTCCATTTCCAGGAAGACTACCGCGAAAAGTTCTCAATGGCCTGCTCGCAGCTGGGCGGCGGCAAGGAACCGATGCCCCCGTTCGATCAGCTGCCGTAAACACGTGGAATGTAACGTAGTCTCCTCACCCAACCGGCTAGGACCCGCCGCTATACATAAAGTGCCTTCTGTGGTCCCGCCAATAAATTGCATATCAACGTTTTTAAAGTGCAAAAAAAACGAAAAATATTGAAAAACATAAAAGTGCACCAAAATATACGTTGTTTTCACTTCAAAAACCGATAAAATGGAAAATTTAGTTATTTGAAAGCCTTAAATGTATCCAAGCTAGTTTATGTTCCCGAAACCATTTAAAATCGATTATGTAACGCTTTTCAAGCTTAAATTATATCTGAAATCAAAGCCTACAAAATACACCCCAACAGACTTACTTGAATACGCCAACTGATCGCAATAAGTCCCGCCAAGTCCCGTAGGGCAGATACAGGAATTGCAGGTACTCGGGTTGGTGTAGCCCTCATTTTGGCAGGGTAGGGAAGCGCCGCAAGACCCTAGAAAGCAGTACAGTTACTATCACAAAAACTGAGCAGACAAGAACGTACAGAGTAAAAAGCGTACCACCGTAACCCCTTAAAAATAATCTATCAGATTTTAATCGCATAATGCGGCGTAGGGATCGAAAGGTCGTTCAAAAAATCAAAAATATAAAATTCACTATTTAAGGCAACTCTAAAGGAGCTGGAAGTACGAAAATCGCTCCCTTACGTCAACTGTCTCGACAACGTCCAATCTGCGCGCTGGGACAAACTACGCGTGCAAGAGTACTTAAACGTCTTGGTGAAAGTTTTGTATTTTGGTGCCAGTTTTCGAAACCTGGTGTACTGAAAGGGTGGATTTTCGTCTCCTTACGCCTTTAAGCACCATTAAAAATGAACAGTGGTTTTGCTTGTCTATGAAATTTTTACGAAAATATTAACCAACGGTTCACCCCATGACTCTAGACATTTTCCTTACTTGAGCAATACATCAAATTGACCGCCTTGTAGTCGTAGAAAGCCGGTTCCACTCGGTTTCCGATGGTGTATGAAAATTGCGATCGCAATGGGGTGATCGTGTCGGAGCCAAAGGATTTCGAGAACGACTTGAAATATATAAACATTTTCGTAAGATCCGAAAAACTCACATTAATAGCGTAGTGCATGACGCTACCGTAGTCGTATGGGATTCCGAGGGACTGAGAAAGTGCAGGAGATCGCTTGTCAAAAGAGCCGGTGTAGCCGGAGGCGATATTTTGAAAGTTGACCCTGAAATTTGATCCTTTAGTAACTTAAATCTTTCCAAATAGCTGTTTTAGAACCGTTTACTTTTTAGAACCTGCTACCAATCTAATTTCTCAAAAAAAAAACTACAGAAAAATGAGCTCTAAACCTGATATATGTATCGCGTTCCGGTCGGGACTGCTCGTGATATAATCCTAGGCTGTGGCCAATTTCATGGGCAGCGATTCCCAGCTAAATCGTTAAATATAGTTTCTAAACAAAATCGGACCGTTTCGCAGCCACTTCCCAGTGAGATTTCTTGTTGGCCGCCAAGCTTTCCGACACCAGAATAACATCTGCAAAAAAGAAGAAAAATGGAAATGGAGGAAAAAATCAACAACATAGTCCTTGCATCATATCGCATTGGAAAAATGTTGCAGACGAGATAGAGCGATAGAAAGAGAGAGGGAGAGAGAGAGAGAGAGAGAGAGAGAGAGAGAGGGGGGAGAGAGCGAGCGAGAGAGATAGCGTGAGAGAGGGAGGTAGAGAGCGTGAGAGAGAACGAAATTCGAAGAGACTGATATAACTTGCTCCCTCCAAAAACTTACCCATCCCCCTTATTAAAAATCAGGAAATCGCCGGCATTCCCGTTTTCCCAGAATCTGATGCAGGTGTTGGTCTGGTAGAGTCGTAGCGCGGCTCGGATAGTGTTTTGCCAGGTTCCTAAATAAAAATAAATTTGTTTGTTTAGTTTTCAGACCATCGGTATCGCCAAAACGATAGGCGATCGTGGTGGTCCATCTTTTTCCGAGATCCGACGTTACCTTTCTACGGCGGCGGTTGCTGATGATTTGGTTTAGCTAAAACAGCGAGTAGCAAGAGAGTGAAGTTAGAGAGAGTAAAAGCTAGAGAGAGTAAGAGCTAGAGAGGATTGCCAAACACCTGTCCGAAAATCATCTGTCCGAAAAACACCTGTCCGAAGAACATCTGTCCGAAAAATCACCCGTCCGAAAAAACATGTGTCCGAAAAAACACTTGTCCGAAAATCGTCTATCCGAAAAATCATATGTCCGAAAAGTCGCCTGTCCGAAAAAACCAGTCAGAAAAACTAATGTCCGAAGCAGCCAATCAAAACCCTTTTCGAATTACTTAGCCAGTTCCTAAAGGTTCGAGGTGTAACTGCCACCAGATAGCCCCACGTGGGAAAGCCCCGGAAATCGTGACCAAACCAAGTTTCATCGGCCGTATCTTAGGGACTGCCTGCCCGAGCTCATTGAGTCACTCTCCAAAAATTTATGATACAGTAGCGGTTCGTATCCCTGGAAAATACCCTCCCATTTTCTCCAAAATCCGGTTTGAATAGATTACCTGAAGGTCTTGGGAAGCTTCAGCCGCACTTCGATTTCAGGGTCCGAAAATGACTTGGACAGTAGATTTTCGGATGGATGATTTTCGGACAGGCGATTTTTCGGACAGGCGGTGTTTCGGACGGGTGATTTTTCGGACAGATGTTTTTCGGACAGGCGATTTTTCGGACAGTTGTTTTTCGGACAGATGTTTTTCGGACAGGTGTTTTTCGGACAGGTGATCGCCACCCGCTAGAGAGAGAGAGAGAGAGAGAGAGAGAGAGGAGAGAGAGAGAGAGAGGTTAGTGAGAGAGGGGAGAAAATCGCTGACCTGGGCCATAGTCAACATCATATCCGCTTCAAACAATCCACTCGTAATTCGGCTATTCGCTCGAATCTCGTTGTGCAGGGCTGCCGTAGTGATCGGAGTAGCTGGATTCTAAATCCGCAAAAGTTTAATGTCCTCACCTAAAGCTTACAAAGGTAAAGCCAGCTCTCTGACTGTAGTATCGATTCAGGGCCGTCACCACATTTTCGTAGCTCTGCCCGCGGAAGGCGCTGTTGAAACGGTTCACGTTATTGATAAGCTGAAAAGGATAAAAACACTAGGAACACCGATTTAGCATATTTTTGAGAAATATTTTCGACGGGGGAGGATGTTCTGCAACAATAAAAAAATGCGCTTGGAAGCGCTCTGGAGTTACAGCGCCTTTTGATGAAACAAACGGGGGTCTCTAAATTCGTGCAGACGAGTGGATAGCCTTCATGGCACCTTTAAAACCGCGAAGAAATACCTACCCGTCGCAGCGTTGGAAAATTGTCGCGACCCATCGTTGGGAATTGCTGTTGAGGAGGTGGAGGAGGTGGTGGCGGAGGAGGCTAAACAAAAAGCTAAGTTGACGATGCTTCAACGCTTCCTCAGGCTCGATTTCTCTAGCTCTCTCTCTCTCTATCTCTCGCTCTCTCTCTCTCTCGCTCTCTCTCTCGCTCTCTCTCACCTGCGGTCTAAACCTAGGAGGAGGTGGTCCTTGTTGTGGTGGAGGTGGAGGCGGGGGTTGATTCTAAAGATTGGTATTACCAGCATAACCTAAGATTTTCAGCATAAATTTAAGAATTTATTGTCGCCGTTAGCTTACAAATTGTTGCTGCATCATTTGCGGAGGAGGTCCGCCCTCATCTTGGTCGAAGTTTGGAGGCTAAAAATGTCAATTTTCCTCGGAATCCCAAAAAGCATTAGTTACCGGCTGTTCCTCGAACTCAGGCGGTGGTAAACATCGTGCATCTATGTTAATGGCATTAGTAGTTAATATAAGAATTAATAAATTATAAGAACCAGGTCGCCCAGTGCGTGATTGTTAAGAAAGACTCACAAATGGTCTCCGGTCCGCGTCGCTAAGAGAATACATCGGTTTTATCAAAACTTAACGGGAAATTGGAGGATAACGGAATTGACAATTTTTAAGCGGTTATTACGGTCTTACTGTAATTTAATGTAATACTGATTTTACCAGCACTAGGTAAATTCCTTGGATACTTACAAAAAATGGTGGCGGAGGGCGCATCTAAAAGAAATACCTACAAATAAAATTTTCTGCAAATTTCATGTTCTACGTTAAAAGAACCTACCCATGGAAGTCGTCCAAATCCACCGCCTGGGCCCCCAAATCCACGCAGCCCAAAGTCCGCCACCTGGGCCTCCAAACTGCGAGGCTACGAATCCGCCATCACCTGGAGGCCCAGGAGAAATGGTGGCGGACCAGTGCCTTCTGCCATCAGGCCAGCACATCAGCCTCATCTCCTAAAAGCTTTTTTCGATTTGTAAAAGTAAGTTAATTATAATACTAACTATTAACCCTACAGAAAATACATCGACAATACAAAAATAAGATACCAAACGGTCCTCCAATCCGCCATGATGATGATGGTGATGTCTCATCCAGGGTGGTCGACCAAAATGGAGGCCCAAATTGAGCAAGGGCTATGGTAGGCCCAAGTAAGAATTAGAGTACCATACCCTAGAAAAGTGGAGGGTGGTATTTTACTACCAATAGAAAGAATATAAAAATCCATGTTATAACTAGGAAAAGCAAATTAAATCGTAACAGACGCTTGGGTCTGGGAATTATTAAGAAATTTCTGGTTCCAATTAAAATTCGTATTAAATCGATTCAAAATTAATAGATCAGGTTGAAAAGCCCGAAAAAATTGAATCTAGTCCAGCTCGGTAGGTATCGAAACAACTGTACTGCCAACATCCGCTCTCTTTTCCTCCGTTTCTTCTAACCCACGTTCCCATTTCAATCTTGCCATTCTAAAAAGGTTTCAGTGGATTTGGCGAAATCAACCCGGAAGAGAGAGAGAGAGAGAGCGGAGAGTGAGAGAGAAAGAGAGAGAGAGAGAAAAAAGAGAGAGAGAGAGAGAGAGAGAGGAGAGAGAGAGTTTGGGGGCTGCTGCCGCTTGCCAAGGATTTCATATGGATTTGCTTTATGACCAACTGGAACTGACTGGCCTTTTGCTCGAGGAAATGCTTTTTAGGGTTATTGGGATGACTGAATTAAAATCGCTACCGCCTTCTTAACCCGCTGAACTGAACCCTGGCTGGACCGTATGTTAACAAAATATTTTCCCTGGTCCTTGATTGATAAGAGCTGTCATTGAATTTTAAAATAAGGAAGCAAACCTGAGAAATAGCACAACCTAAAGCTGTAGCACCACCTATCGGTAGGTATGTTTTGGGTCGTATCGCCTGGATATTGTGGATCTCTTTCTCTCTATCTCTTCTCGCAGCGTAGTGTATTATCTGATTTCGCGGCGTATTGGATGGTATCATAACGTATCTTGTCGTAGCGTGTCGCGCCGTTTTTGTATCGTATCGTATACTATCGCATCCAAGCTCACTGTAGCGGGGAGCATCCCATCGAATCTTATCGCGGGTTTTTCGTATCGAAGTGCGCAAGGTGTTGCATCGTAGTCAATGTATCGTAGCGTAGTGCAATGTGGTATCATATCTTAGCGTATCGTCTCTGCTCCCATCGTCATCTAGCGTACGGCATCATGACGTATCAAAGCCGTATTGCTGTGTACCGTAGCTTGGTGGGCTTAAGATTTTAGCAAAGCCATAATCTTCAAAAATCGCTCTCATTTATTTTTAGCCCCCTTTCAACTTGGTGTTTATAGGTTCCAAAAAGTGCTCTATATTTCGTTTTCTTCCCTTCCCGCCAGGGGGCACTCACTGACCCTGCGTTCTATTAGGGGACAGTCTCAAGGGGGAATAAGAGAGTTTCGGGGCGATGGACGCTTGGGATTCCCTCTCGTTTCCTGCACTTTGCACCTCGAATCGACAGACACCTTTATAAGCCATCGATGATTTAGCCACTTCCGGTTTTTCCGGTGGTTCAGGATTAGGTTTGGCACGTAGCTCAGCGGAGTTTGACTTGAACTGGAGTTCAATCTTCAAATCGAAGTCGCTTGAGCCGCTTCAGGTTTTCACCTGAGGGTTTGGATCTTTGTTTTCTTTTCCATTAGAGACACCAAGCCTTATGCTAAGCCTAAGCTAGGCTTAAGCCACTTAACCCAAGTTTCAGCAAAGCCGAAGCCAAGCCTGCTTAAACAAAGCTAAACAAAAGCGAAGCCGACTTTAAGCTCAATCCGTTGTTCAATCACCTTGGACCAAATCCCGCCCGGCTCCAAAGAACGCTCAAAATGCGCAGCTGTGTTTTCTTTCGGAGCAACGCCTGTCCAGCTCCAGGCCATGGGAATCCCACACTTCCTTTGCCCGCAGCCGCCCATATAGCTTTTCCATCCCCATCCGCTTCTCAATCTCCATTTCACAGTGGTGTCTCGCCTCGGGGCTCCGATGCCTCGCATTTCGTGGGGTGGGTTGTGGTTTGAAACAATTTTACGATCAACTAATGAATTTACGCTATAGAGATTCTATAAAATTTTAGGGGTAAGAGAGGGCCATTCGGCGTCCCAAGAGTACGCACATACCCGCGCTCAGAAATGCGGATTTCGTCATTGTTAGGGTTTTCAACGATTTTACCATAGGAATATCATATATTTTTAATCATAAAAATTTTTAATAACGCAAAGAAGTGCGTGCAGGCGCTCACATTCCTTAAGTTTGCACAGAGAGCTTGGAAAATTGAATTTAACGGTGGCTACATCTTTTTCGGCGTCGTTAACTTTATATTTTTAATTTAACGTTAGGTTGTTTGCTAATTGTTCCTATTTTTCGAGGCCGTTTATATCAATTTATCCAAAGTTCTGCAACCATCCGAGTTTTTTTCCGGGTCGTTTTGTTTGTGTATTTTTTTGTGAGGCTCAATTTCCGATTTTTAATGTGACTTTCAGCTTACGCGGTACAATTATTTATTTATCAGGATGCCGTCCGCTACGATCCGCCCACAAAACCCGATCGAAAACATGGCAGCAGAGCCATTACTCAGGTTTGCGCTTGCATCACTTTTACGTCGGTGTTTTCCATCGATTCTGTGTACGTTGCTTGATTTTCCTTCTTCAAAGAAAGGCTCTTTCAAGGTTAGCTTTTTAGCAATCTTCATTAAAAATCTGTTAAAATCAGGATTAACTCGATCAAAAAATTTGCTGAAGCCATCAAATCTTCCTGCTTACAAAATTGCGGTGAGTTGCAATCCAGAACTTTGTAGTTTGTAGTCTCCGCATTTTCGATTTGTTTGTATTTTGTGGCTTAATTTTCTATGGAGTTTAAGATTAAACTGATTAAACTGAATTTTAGTAGACGCACCCCGCTGCTTCTTAAAATAAGCTCGAATTCTGTTGCCGAAAATATACTTTTTTAACCCGGCGCACAACCAACATAAACTCCACACGACACCAAAATCCGGAATTTCCGGTTTACGCATGAACTTTTTGCCTGGGCCATTTTTCGGCACCTGGACATTGGCACTTGTTTAATGGAGGCGCGGGATTACGTGATAAGAGCGTAAATGGGCTGTGTGAGAACACCCGTTATTCTCGGCTTTTCCCAGATTGACCCCCGGCGTGCCGAGATGCAAAATTTAACGGTTTTCCTGTCTTTTGCCCAAAGAAACAGTAGAAAGCAATTCAGCGGAAACAAACGGCCGTTGCTGACATAAATTCGGCACTATAAAATCAGGGAGTATAATCAGGGCATTCGCTTCGTTTGCCCCGAATTTTTGCTGACTTCTCCTGCACATTCGGAGTGCATTTCTAGGGACCTGTCAATATTTTTGGGAAAGCGTTTTGGTGGTTGATGAGAAAAAGGCTTTTAATTTCCCCTGTGTTTGAAAACCGTAGGATTTTCTAGGGCACGGTCTTTGTCCAAAAAAAAAGATATATTTGGTAGTGTCCGTTTTCTGTCCTACAGACTTTTCAATTTACTACCATCAAATTCTGGGTTTGAGCTTGAAAGTCGTTTTAGTTTGGTCGGTTCGCCCAACTAAATGCCGCTCATGTTTTGGCTATTCTTTTCTAACTCACTCTCTCGCGCTTTAGCTCTCTCTTCCTACTCTCCTCTCTCACATTCTACTCGCTTTCGCTCTTTCTCTCGCAATCTCTCGCTTTCTCTCTCTCTTTCACTTGCGCTCTATATCTATCCCGCTATCGCGCGGGCTATCTTCTCCCTCGCCCTCTCTCTCTCTCTCTCTCTCTCTCTCTCTCTCTCTACTCTCACTCTCTCTCCCTCTCTCTCTCTCTCTCTCTCGCTCTGTCGCTCTATAGCTCTCTTTTCCTCCTGATCTACTTCGGCAGCCTCGTTCTCAAAATATATGCCACTCTCCCCGAAAAGCGAGAGTGCTTTGAAGTGTGCCCCATGCTCCGATCAGTAAACC